TGACAAATAAGAAAATTTCAAGTGCTAGGAAAAAACAATGTTAATTATAAAAAAGAAAAATAGAATGTTAAATGGTGGTCTAATTGAGCTAATGTATATTATGGGGCTTTTACAGAAAACTGGTGAAATACTGGAATTAAAAAATATTGGCCAGTGCAGTTCATTTACCATTTCACAAATGTGGGTAGTAATTACTAAAGAGGAGAAAAAAAGGCATAATGAGTCTATACAGCAGTAAGGCTATCAACATGAATTTCAGTTGCATATACTACATACCAATAGTCATAGATAATGACAGCATTAGCATTTATTTCACATCTGTTCTTTAATCAGTAGCTGTATTCAGTGTCACACACACACACACACACACACACACACATACACTTTTATTTAATTATACATATGAAATCAATACATAGATTTTTGGTTGGGGACAAAAGCAGTGATATAGTGTTGTAACCGTGGCTGGTTCCCTTATTTACCACTATAATGTCTTAAAGCATAGAACTTAGCAGGGCTAACCATACAGATATCTTAGCCATAATTTTATATAGTGTAAGAGATCCTCTATTTAACATATATAAATAATTGAGAATACAATATAAAATAAGGATTGTCTTGGAAGCAATAGTTTTGTCTTTTGGATATTTATTATATAAAAATAAATATAAAATCCATTATAGCAGAGTTTATAAGATTAAATTACATGCTTGCAAATATCATTAATAGGTTAACATACCCTTCTGAACATGTCATCATGTCAGCTTCTCTGTCATTTTAAGATGGAGCTGTGTCTGTCTCCAAGTCTCTCCTCTGTGTCTTAACATTTAAAAGTACACCTATTTATACCTTAGGTGTCTCCATTTTAGGTTACAGTTGTTTGTGATGTACCGAAACCAACATTCAGGTAGACCTCTAAACAAAGAGAACCCACCAAGATAATGATTAAAGTAATAAAAGGGAGAAGTGATCTTGGGGTTAAATAGCCAATTAACTCGTCCCCCAACTCCAGGCTACTACCAGAACATTTGTGGTCAGGGACATGCTGAGATATAGTTTACAAGTCAGTTGTGTTGTGCTGTAAATGACGGTTGGGTAGATCTAAATGCAAAGGGTAAACGATGCTAACTTGTATTACAAATTAAACAAAATTACATAGGCAGATCTTGAAAAGCTTGTCTCAACTCTTTCTCAGGTTGTGGCATATATCTATTATAAACCATTGACTTCCAATGGCCAAACCTCTTAAGAATATGTACTAGGGCATTCTTTTTAGACACAGCTGAAATTGCACAAATTCTAAATGAATGCCATAAAAAGTTCAACAAAGAGCATCCTAACATACAAAATAAATTTAGATGATGTAATGGGTACTGTGCAGAGGCAAAAGACGTGTGTTACTGGGACAATCCATGAGGGTGAGGCAATATCGATAAAGAACTTTCATGGGGCACCAAATATTGTTGGAAGAGTATAGCGGAATTTCAATTGGTGGGGCCATCTGATTAGTTTCAGATGCCTAAGAGTAAAGATTTTGAATTTTAAGACAAAGTGCTGAATCTGATGTTTTTTCTGTAGACGAGGAAATTATAGTAAGCTAAATATATAATATATATAATATATCAATACAGCTAAATATATATTTAGCTGTATTGATAATTGTGTCAGTATGACTCTCAAAAGGGCTTTTGTCAAGTAAATCATATAGTGCCTGAAAGTTAGGTCCATTCAGTGGTGTATCCTGGTTTTGTGCTGTCCTAGGCATGACAAAACTCAGGCACCCTACCCCCCCCACCCCTCCTTCCCCGCTTTCTAAATATACACACACACACACATACATTCACTGACAGACACACATACAGTCACTAGCAGACACACGCACTCACTAACACACACACACTCACTCACTAACAGACACACACACTAACAGACACACTCACTCACTCACAGACACACAGACACACATTTAAAAAAAAAAATTAAATCCCCCCAGCCTCCTTACCTTTAGGAATGCTGGGGTGGATTCTCTCTTTCCCTGGGGTCCAGTGGAGCTGCTGGGCGGGTGTGCAGTGACTGCAGTCGGTGATGGAGTATTGATCCTCCTGTTCAGCTCCCTTGCACGGCGCAGAGTGATGCCGGGAGCCAGAATAGGACGTCATATTCCGGCTACCGGCATCATTCTGCGGCACGCGAGGGAGCTAAGCAGAGAGCTCACAAGTCAGTGCTCCCTCGCCAGCGCCGCCCGCCTGCCTGGATTCTTACTTAGCCGCCGCCAGGCTAACAAGACATTTGCCTGGGTATTTGGGGCGGAAAGTGCCGCCCAAGGCAAATGTCTTGTTTGCCTCGCGGTAAATACGTCCCTGCGGTCCATTTATAAGTTGGTGTTTAGGTGCTTGTGAACAGTCTTACCTTTGTATGCCTTTTAGAATATTCTTAGTATGGTATGAATAGAGGCTTTGTGATTGGTAAACACACTTGGCAAATAATGTAGGATACCTGAAAGGTATAATTTAATAGTACTGCATGATAATTTGAGATTAAGGTGGCAAAAAGCTGTAAATGCCATCATGGTTTCTATAGAGAGTAAATCATTAATTTGAAATTTAGAAATAAATCTGTTAAAAATGTTTACTGCTCTATTGTAGGATCTACTAGTATTGGCATGCTATGGGCCATACGATTGGCTAGTCCATTAAGAGATCCTGGAGGGTTGGGGCCTTGGTAGCCTACCTCTCTGCTGTGAGATGTAGTTTCAAGAACATCTGGAATTTTGCCTCCTTATTCCATTTTAAACCTAGTTTCATTAGAGTTTGTGTTTGCTGTATACAACAGCTTTCAAACACAACTTGGGAATAGATGCAAAAGCAGTGAACCACTCGTGGACTGTATTGTTGTTAATGCAACTCATTAGCATGAGGTTGGGTATATATTTTTATTGATTATAGACTTGCTATTAAGGCTTGGTGTTACTTGTAAAGCACAAACCAAGTTATAAAATAGGTTGCGACAAAGCTGCTGATAATATTATAATAGTGATAAAAATATAGATAGGTAAAATCAATAAAATACAATCAGAAACTTTCAAATATAGAAACAATGGGAGATAAAAAATAAATAAATAAAATATAAAAAAATAAACATAAAAAAGTCAAACATTTGAGGTACAATAAATGAGGACCTATTCCTGTTGATTCTCTTGGGGGAATCTGGAGATTCTTGCTTTTTCAGTCTGTTTTAACTATGAAAAAGAAGAAAAAACTAAAATAGTGTAGTATGTCAGAAACAGATAAGTGGTATATAAAGCGTAATAGTCCTATTCACAAATTGTGGAGCTAGTACAAGCTCTGGTGTGATTCTCATTCAGTGGCATTGATCCCCCACTGGTAGGATATAGGTGACAGTCCTTCTCACAGATTTCTCAGAGTTTGGGTGTCCCAAAAAGGAGACCGCAAGGAGGCAAAATCTGGCCCAGTGTGGAACCCCTAATCCCGAAGCAGTAATACATGTCTGTGCAATGCCTTGTTGTTTGCTCAGTTTTATGTCTGCATGTTGCTAGGAAACAGCCAATCAGCCTAACTATTCAGCCGAAACAGAATGCATCTGTCTATAGGCTACTGCAGTGTTATGTGGCCAGGAATGTGCAGTTTTTTTGAAAGTATATTTTTTTAAATCATAGTGATCTTAGCCTATCAGCCACCAAGGCAAACCCTCCTGGATTGTACAACAGCCAGAGGAGGAAACTGGAGGTAATATTTAACCAGTTTATCCCCGTAGGAAAGACAGCACCAAGTGACTTCAAACCTCATAACAACTTCATTGGGAGAGTGAAATGACTGAATGTTCCTTAACCTGCAATAAAAATAAACATATTTGTATGTTGTGATGTCTAACGAGTACAACGATTCTTTCTGTGTTCAGGTTTCATGCTGTTTTGAAAAATGACGTAATAATAATAATAATAATAATAATAACTAGTTGTGAAGGATTCCCCTATACCCATTCGGCTACTTTGACTCTCCTTGCTATTTAAGTTCCTTAGATTGTTCGGTTTATTTTATTGGTTCAGTAAATCATTAGTTTATCGAACGGAGACCACCCTGGGTAGCAATTAGAACATGGAACACTGAGTAAATATACGAAAACCACAAGTTAATTGAGTGCTCCTAGGTGGCCACCATTTCGGCATACGAACGCACGTGGTGAGAAAAAGGGATGGCGGCCCTCTTAGACTCCCAAACGCGGCCAGCGGGACTTAGTCGTTGAGTGCCTGGAACTGTTTTGGGCATGGCACTCGCACGAACACCCGGTCCCCATGGAAGTCCCATACGAATGGTTTCCCCACACAGTAGAAGAAAGACATTCGGGAGTTTCAAACAGACGAATGAGGGGAGCACTCTGCACGAATCAGATTTATTCCATCACAGGCGGTTTTCGTATAAATTCATCCGAACGGAGACTGGCTCTTGCTACCAAATCTGTGGAACTCTGGATCAGATACAACCGCATGGCGAGCCGGTCCACCTTCCACACACTGCAACACCAAAACTACCAAACAGATTTTCTTGCAATTTGGATATGTTGCTCACATCACCCTCAGCTACCCAGGGGTATGGTTTTTATATTGTTTTATTATGCATAATATATATTTCTGAAAATTATGAAAATTTTAACTTTTCTGGCTAGTAGATAATTGAGCTTAGTATGTTGCTTAAACTCAATTATCTAGCCAGGCCCAGAGGAGGAGTTTTGTGTTACATAAATTGAGCATCCTTGTCCCCATTAAATCAGACTTGTTCCAGCATTAAGCTTTGGCTCATTTGTGGATTATTTGACGATACCAGCGATATTTTTACACTGTGGATTATTGGCAATATGCTGTTATTTGGGATAAGGGAATATTAGACGGTGATACGTATTGATATGGTCACAACTCGTTGGCAGCAGCAGGATTTTCCCTTTTCCTAGACCGAGAATCCAAGCAAGGCACTGATATACAGTGAATGGAAGGCTGGTACACACAGCTCAAACGCAACACTTTAAAGGAATTACTGGAGGTCCATGGAAGGAGTGCCAGCAACAAAGCCAAGCGGGTCATCATTGCTGAATTAATGGAGCTGGACCGGGGGAACTTGGCTGCGGCAACATCGACAGTTCGGGAAAATGAATCACCGACCAACAAGGAGATTCGGGAAAGGCTGGCATGGTTCAGGTTAAACCCAACCGCCGAAATCATCCTGCAGGTGATGAACCTTGTAACAGAGGAGGCAAAACAAAAGGCACAGCTAGAGCTGCAGATAAGGCTGGCTGAAACCCAGCGAACAGCAGCAAGTTCACCGAACGGAGGGAACAGCACAGTGGATGCACAAAAAATTCCCTTCAGTGCTTTTAAAAGCTTTAATGAGAATGACTGTGAAATTCATGGCTACCTGGCAGACTTCGAGTGCCAGTGTAACCTGCACAAGGTGCCTGCAGACGAGTGGGTCCCAGTGCTATCTGGGAAACTGTCAGGCAAAGCAGCGGATGCCGTCAGGGCAATACCAGAGCATGAGGCGCTCCTGGCTCCATATGCCATAACCCCAGAAGTGTACCACAGGAAATTTAGAGACTAAGGAACAGTTAGTCTGGGAGGAGGGCAGACTATACAGGCTCACGGAGACCTGAGTCAACGCACCCGGGCCCCGGCAAAAACGCCAGCTGGTAATTCCCAGGAAGTACTGGCGGGAGTTATTGCGGATTGGTAATGATGTCCCCTTAGTCGGACATCTAGGCATACGACGGACGTTACATCGGGTAACCCAGAAATTCTTTTGGCCTGGGGTAGCCGACGATGTCCAAGCGTATTGCCAGACGTGCAAGGTATGCCAGATGGTGGGTAAGAAGGGAGACCACCTGAAAGCTAAACTGGTCCCGATGCCCTTAATAGAGGAACCCTTCACGAGAGTAGCCGTAGACCTTGTAGGACCCCATGCCCAGCCTAGCTACTCCAGTAAGCGCTATATACTTACCGAAGTGGACTATGCTACCCGCTACCCGGAGGCTGTAGCCATCTCCAGTATCCAGGCGGAAACTGTGGCTGATGCCCTGGTCAAGATTTTCTCTAGAGTGGGATTTCCGAAAGTGATTTTATCAGACCAGGGTACGCAGTTCACTGATGAGTTAACCCAGCAACTGTGGAAGGTCTGCGGGATTAAACCCCTGACAAGCTCCCCGTACCACCCGCAGACTAATGGGTTGTGTAAGCGCTTCAACAGAACTCTGAAGCAAATGCTGAAGACGTTCACGGGAGCCTACAGAGACTGGGAGCGATTCCTGCTGCACCTCCTATTTGCATCCGTAGAGGTGCCCCAGGAATCCACTAGGTTCTCACCCTTTGAGTTGCTGTACGGGAACCCTGGACCTTATTAAAGATCATTGGGAGGGCCAGACAGAGATTGAAGGGACCCCAATTGTGCCCTATGTGCTGGAGCTGTGGAAGCATGGAGGATCTAGCTCAGGCAGTAAGGGAAAACCTCCAGGCAGCTCAGCAGCACCAGAAAGTATGGTACGACCGGAGGGCCAGGTACCGGAGCTTTCAGATTGGACAAAAGGTCCTAAGGCCCGTCCGAACCGACAAGCTCCAGGCTACCTGGCAGGGCCCATACTAGGTTATAGGACAGATGTGCGATACCACCTACACTATAGCCAGCTGTGAGAATGAGGATGTGAAATGGACCTTTCACATCAACATGCTCAAAGCCTATAAAGAAAGGGCCGAGGAGGTGACAGCCATCTGTGCCCCCGAGGGAGAGGACATAGAGGCCCTGCCTTTACCGGACATGTTAGGGGTTGATATAGATTTGGTCCAGTTGGGGGAACAGCTGGGGTCCCAAGAAAGGGCCCAAGACACCTGCCTACTGGAAGCCAAACAAGCCACGTTTTCCCAGGAACCCGGGTATACTCAGTTAGCCGTACACAAGGTGGACACCCCAGGACAGGCACCCCTGATACAACCTCCTTACCACATTCCGGAGGCTGTTAGAGATGGAATGTGAAAGGAAATAGACAAGATGCTTCATCTGGGAGTGATAGAACACTCCAATAGTCCTTGGGCTTCCCCTGTAGTCTTAGTGCTGAAGCGGGATGCTACGACCCGCTTCTGTGTTGACTACAGGCGGCTCAATGACAAGATGGTGACAGACGCCTATCTGATGCCGCGGATGGATAAGCTGCTCGACCGTATATCCAAGGGTAAGTATCTGACCACTATTTACCTCTGCAAGGGATACTTGCAGATCCCCTTAGCAGAGAATGCGGTCCCCAAGTCAGCCTTCATCACCCCATTCGGCCTATACCAATTTCGAGTTATGCCGTTCGGGATGAATAACGCTACCGCCACCTTCCAATGGATGGTGGACCGCTTATTAGATGGTCTCCAGGACTACGCTTGTGCCTACGTGGATGATATCGCTATCTATAGCGATACCTGGGAGGCACATTTGGAAAACATAGGGTCATTGTTAGATAGAATTAGGGGGGCCGGCCTGACCCTGAAGCCTGACAAGTGTCACCTGGAGGTGCAATATTTGGGCCACCGAGTTGGATGTGGTAAGCAATGGCCAGAGCCAGCTAAGATCGAGGCCATTGCTAATTGGCCCACTCCTCGAACCAAGACACAAGTCATGGCCTTCCTAGGGACAGCCAGCTATTACCGACCCTTCGTGCCAGACTATAGCGCCCTGGCCAAACCCCTGACCGACTTGATCAAAAAGAAACTACCCCGACAGGTCCTGTGGTCCCTGGAGTTTGAGGTGGCTTTCCAAGCTTTTAAAACAAGCTCTTGTTAATGCCCCTGTGTTAGCTGCCCCAGATCCTAACAAACGCTTTATCGTCCATACAGACGCCTCAATGTTTGGACTGGGGCAGTTTTGAGCCAGGTCAGAGAAGACGGAGGGGAGCACCCGGTAGCCTATCTGAGCTGGAAGCTTTTGCCTAGGGAGCTCAGCTATGCGGCCATTGAGAAGGAATGCCTGGCATTGGTCTGGGCCCTCAAATAATTTACTCTTTATCTCTATGGCCGAGCCTTCACTCTCATCAGGGACCACAACCCCCTAGTCTGGCTCAACAGGGTCTCGGGTGATAATGCCCGTTTGTTGCGGTGGAGTCTAGCCTTACATCCCTACGATTTTACCATCCACTACCGTCCAGGCAAGCAAAACGGGAATGCAGATTGAAGTCCTTTGTGACCAAATGAAGCATGGCTTTTCTGCCCAAAACCAGTTCCACAGTGTCTTCTATCCTGGAGATAATTGGGAAGTAATCCAATTATCTCCAAGGACAGAGGCAAAACTCCATTGAACACATGGCAGCAAAAGACAATAAAACACATAAAAACATATAACTGTGCAGCCATTGCACAAAACAGGTACATTCAACATATCCCCAGATAGCTCAGATCTGAGCGCACATTATTACTGAATGGCGCTCAGAGCACACACATACAGTTCAATTGCCATGGAGCCAAAGTCTTTCCCATAGTCTTTCATTATACGAATGGGCTCCATGGCATAGCTATCTGGGGTATCACCGCTCAAACAGGGCAAGCACCGAATGACCCGGCTTTCATGTCTTCGCAGGGGAAAATCAAGAGTTTCAACATGGGGCCATAGTCTAAATGAAGCAGGTGGGCAACCAGGCTTCTCCAGTGCATAGTGGCGAGGTTGGTTCCGCCACACCAGCTCTTGCTACCAAATCTGTGGAACTCTGGATTGTATACAACCGCATGGCGAGCCGGTCCACCTTCCACACGATGCAACACAAAAACTACCAAACGGATTTTCTTGCAATTTGGATATGTTTTATATGGTTTTATTATGCATAATATATATTTCTGAAAATTTTAACTTTTCTGGCCAGTAGATAATTGAGTTTAGTATGTTGCTTAAACTCAATTATCTAGCCAGGCCCAGAGAAGGAGTTTTGTGGGAATTACCCCATAATGGCATACCATTTGCAATGAAGGGTATTCCAAATCGTGTATGTCCAGTCTTTTTTAGCAACTTAGTCACAAACCTAGCCAAAGTTAGTGTTCAAATGCATTTTTCATACAAAAACTAGACTTTCACTGATATCGCCATTATACATGTTATTGCACATACATGTTACATGTTATACATGTTACAGATCTGTGTTCAGCAAAGTCACACCAGTATAACAGTACCCACATGTACAAGTTTTAGGGGTTTGGGAAATTACACGGTCAAATATAAGGCTTACCAATAAAATTCTCTAGACTTTCCGCCTGGGTTGTCAGACTGGTTCCTCAAAATATAAGTAATAAAATCACATCATTATTTAAAAATAACATCAGTCATGCACCAGGTAATCTGTTTGTATAGATCTTTTTCTGGTCCTTCTGTTTTTCTCACTATTAGTTAATTTTTCCCATTTGCTCCTATCAGTGTACTGCTAAATATATACATAATAGCACTGATTAGTTTGTGCGATTCAGTTCCATCATCAGTTTTTCAGGTACCGAAATTCTGCTGAGCTAAACTGACATTCATCCTAAATCCAGACATCCCCTCTAAACAAAGATCTATTTTCAGGAAAAATGGTTTTGGAAAGCTGAATTTTTTTATTGTATGTTTATATGTTGCATTGCATTGAGGGTCTGGTTTTAATAGAGGTTATATTAATAAACTGAAATGGATTAATTTTTCTCCCCATTTCTTGTGTTTTACTGATAGACAACTGTAAATAAACAATTAATCAATTCCCTGACTAGAATTTATTAAAAATAAATTACTATATAGTTCATGTACCACTTTATATGGCTGAATGTTATTGTTTGATATAAAATGACACTTACATGACTTTTCTGAATCTTAATGATCCTTATTTTAAAGGAGTCACATTTTCAATTTCTTAAAGTTGTACTTACCCAAGTTACTTATTTATATCTTACAAATTAGATCAATTATATCCTATATTAATTATATCAATTTATATCTTACAAATTAGATCAATATTTACATTTTCTAAATATGACTATTGAGGCACCTATTGTGTATGGTATGGAATAGACTGGACAAAAAAAATAACCTGGTGGTGACATCACCTCAGGGGGTCTGGTGGCTGGGAGGGGGGCAGGTAAAGGTAAGTTCTACATACCTAAGCATGTCCCTTGTGGGTGCAGCCATCTTCTTCCAGCAAGCCTTTTGTAGCTTCAGGAGAGGTCTTCACTGCTGACCTGTACAGCAGTGAAGCGGTTCAAATTTTAGCAATTCAAATTTTATTGTGTTCAAAAATACGATTTTGTTTAATTACTTGTGTTTACTGCTGTGTAAAACTTAAAATATCAGGGACGTTTACTTGTGATTTCACACCAAAGGAATAGTCCTACTTCTGGAAATAGATTCCACAATAAACTTAGTGTCGATACAAATGGCCACATTCCACGAGATGTGCAATTTACTTGAAACTCAATTACACATAGAATATGTAGTTTTACAATTGAAGGAACTTTATTGCATGCTATCAAATTTTGAGATGAGCTGTATTCTAATTAGGTTACACTAATACATACAAGTCTCTTTATTAAGAAGATGTCCTTCAAATGGTTTTAATCACTAATGGAACTTTACAAAAGAATGAAAATGGTTCAGTGCATTACAGGACCAATAGCACATTATAAGGATTGTGCATAATAATGTAATGAAGACATGCTATTGCTAACTGAGATTTAATAGTGCTACTTTCAGATACAGTCTGACAGTTACAATAGTATTGGAGGTAATAGAGCACATGAGGTTAATCAATACATTTTCCTACCATATGAGGGCACATATGTTATTGTAGAAGGATCTTGAGAAAAATGTGTTTTGAAGATACCTTATAACTAAAAGTTAAATTGTTGAAGCAAACTTACCAAATATGTGTTTACTAGATTTTTAAAAACAATTAAGTTGCTTTTTAATATGTACTTGAGCATATGCAAGATATTTATCACTTAAAGGGGTGATACATAGTAGCAAAGTGGGTAGAGAAGATCAGATAAAGTGAAAAAAAATAATAAAGTGGAGTTGAAGAGATACAGCATAAAATAATAAGAAAGTGAGAGTGACACATAGTGAAGGGTGAAACATATATATGTGTGTTGGCACTCACCTGCCAAGGTGATGCTGTATTGAGGTGACCCACCAATTGGTTACCTATAATCATATAGAAAAAATGAAAAATTGATACCGCACTCCAACAAATGATGCAAAAGAAGAAATATTTTATTCAATTGAGGCTTAATTGTGTGTGATATTTAAATCAGATAGGTAACTAGTACCTCAGTACCAAGATACTTAATGGGAATATAATATAAATATCTCACTAGTGTTCAAAAATAACAAAAAATATATAAACCAAATTGTAAACACCAATATATTCTCCAAGTGCTATAACAAAAACCCTTAATCTAAAAACCTCCTACACAAGTCAGCAAAATACAACATACACAGTTCTGTGCAGAAATAAATATAACCACAGTTTGTAGCCAAAAGTCCTTAGTATTAACCCCTTAAGGACATAGCTTCAGAAGCTTGACTTACGCTTAATGACACAAGCAATTTTTGCATTTTCTTGCTGTTTGCGTTCAACTGCAATTTGCATCTCTCTCATTTATTGCACCGACACATATTATATACTGTTTTTTAAAGGACAGAAAGGGCTTTAATTTGATATAACATATATATATATATATATATATATATATATATATATATATATATATATATATATATATATATATATATATATAAATGCTTACTTATTATAAAAAAAATACAGAAAAATGCAAAAAAAATGAAAAATATTGTTTTTTTTTACAGTTTTTGCAATAATAATGTGTGCATAATTAGTGCAGGTTAAGGAAAGTAATTAAAAATAAATTTATTTATTTGTTCTGATTTACAGAATATATAATGTGTCTGGGATTTTAAGTTTTTTTTGGTAGTTACAGGTCACAAAGCACAAGGAGTAAAATAAACTTTTAATGTGGAGCCATTTTAGAATTTGGTATGTTTGTCTTGTAAGCTTAATAGCCATAAAAGAAAACAAAATTGCCACACAAAAGCATATATTTATATAAAGTAGACATCACGGGCTATTTACCTAAGGTTGTTTCTACGTAGCCATTTCACCGCCAACCTCTGTTAAATATTGGAGTAAAATTGTGTTCTTTTTGGTTTTTGGCACACAAACTTATAACAGAGAAATTCTCATGTATATTTTGCAAAGTTGATGTGTGCTATTCCTGTACAAAGTTTTATTTTGTGTTCAGTTACATCTGCTGAGTAAAATGACACCCCCATTGTATGTCTTTTGCACTATTTCGTGAAGTTACAGTGCCATACAGGATACCTGTCCTTTTCAGTATTCAAGTAGAATTTTGAGAGATGAATTTAATGAGCCTTAGCTTCCATTTGGGGTATTATAACAGTTTGACTGTTCAAAAAACCCCCACAAAGGCCTACCATTTGTAAAAGTAGACACTCCAGGGTATCTTATAAGGTGCATATTGTGCCTTAACATACCCCCATTTTTTCACCAATATATGCCAAAGTATGTGGTAAAAAAATAATTTTGTGCATTTTTTACATACGGATTGCATTTTTGCTGGGCGTTTTGTATATTTCATATGTGCCACTAAGTTCAAACCTCCCAAATTATGCTCAGCTAAGTCTTTTGAGTAAAAATACACCCCCAATGAATGTCTTTGTCACTATTTTGTGAAGCTACAGTGCCATATAGGAGACCAAGCCATATCCGTTTTTACCAAACTTTGAATTATGACGCTGGGCCTATGTGCAATTTCCAAGCATCTTCGCAGGTTATAAATTCAAACTACCCCACAAAGGCCTACCATGTCTTAAAGTAGACACCCTAGGGTGTTTCAAAAGGTATAGTTTGAACCTTAGCGTGGGATCATTTTTCCGCTAGCTTGTACCAGATGTAGTGGTAATAAGCGTTTTTTCTGCCTTTTTGACATACAAAGTGAGTTTGCACAGTATATTATGTGTGCTACGACTGTATAATACTTCATATGTTGCTCAGCTATGTCGGCTGAGTACAGCAATACCCCCGTATGTACCTTTTCCAGGTATGTGTGGACATCGGAGGGGCACATTTGGGACACAGCCATTCCAGTTTTTTTCAGACTTTGAATTTTTATGCTGTGCCTATGTCCCATTTTAGAGTATTTTACCAGGCTATATAATCCAAATTCCCCATAAAGCCATACCATTTCTTAAAGAAGACATCCCAGGGTATTTCAAAATGCATATTTTGAACCTTAGCGTGGGATCATTTTTCCGCTAGCTTGTACCAAGTGTAGTGGTAATAAGCATTTTTTCTGCCTTTTTGACATACAAAGTGAGTTTGCGCAGCATATTTTGCAAACCTTATGTGTGCTATGACTGTATAATACTTCATATGTTGCTCAGCTATGTCGGCTGAGTACAGCTAATACCCCCGTATGTACCTTTGCCAGGTATATGTGGATGTTGAAGGGGCGCATTTGAGATGCAGCCATTCAGTTTTTTTCTAACTTTGAAGTTTTACGCTGTGTCCATGTTCCAATTTGGAGTAGTTTAGACGGTTGGTTATTGAAACTTCCCCACAAACACATACTATTTATTAAAGAATACACCCTGGGGTAATTCAAAAGGCATATTTTGAACCTTGGCGTGGGATAATTTTTTCTCTAGTTTGTTCCAGGTGTAGTGGTAATGAGCGTTTTTAAAATGTATTTTTTACTTTTTATAACTTTTTTACTTTTAAAAACTAGTTTTTAAACTTTTGTTTTGCTTATAAATTTTTTTTAAACTTTCCTAAACTTTCTTAAAACTTTTTACAGATTTAACATTTTTCTAAGCTTTTTTTTTTACCGTTAACCCCTAACTAGCAGTACGCAGCACTAACAGTAAATTCCCCATTTTCCCATAACTCCCACCCACCCCAGCTAGCAAAATATATAGTTATAAAATATTTAAATTAATTAATTAAATAAATTGAACCCCTGAGGGTTAAAAAAAAAAATAAAAGTTAATCCTCAGGGGTTAAAAAAAATTAGATCACAGTATAATACTGTGATCTCTATTTGATCGCTGTAGGCAGTGATCGACTGGCAGGGAAGGGGTTAATTTTTATTTGGACTAGGTAAAGTGTGTTTTTTTTGTTTTTTTTTACTTAAATGTTATTAAAACATTTTTTTAAGCTTAATTTTTAACTTTTTAAAGTTTCTTTTAAAACTTTTTTTTAACGTTAACCCCTAGTTAGCCTAACGCCAAATCCCCCAATTCCCCACTAACTTCCACCCACCCCAGCTATCTAAATATATAATTCAAAAATAATTTAATTAATTAATTTAATTAATTTAACCCCTGAGGGTTAAAAAAAAAGAATTAACCCTCAAGGGTTAAAAAAAAAATCAGATCACAGTAAAATGTAATCCCTGCCAATTGATCACTGTAGTCAGTGATCAATTGGCAGGGAATGGGTTAATTTTTTTATTAAAATGGGTAAGGGGGGGGACACTTTAAATTAACTTTATTTTTTTTTTTCAGCAGGGGGCAGGATCATCACTGATCCGGCTCCCTGCACTTCACACAGAACCCGGAAGTGTAAGGAGCCGGTAGGTGAGTATACAGAGCACATGTGCTCGCTCAGACTTGTGGTCAGAGCGAGCACATGTGCTGGGCAGCCTGACCGGGTGCTCCCGGTATGCCTCTAATGCAGAGGCATACCGGAGCACCATTAACCCAGCGATCGCCGCGATAGCGGCGATCCGGGGTTAATTTTACCATGTGACGGACGAGGTCCGTCACCCGTCGTTAAGGGTCTCCCCTCTGTGACGGACCTCGTCCGTCACCCGTCCTGAAGGGGTTAAGTAGATGGATCCACTAATAAGTCCCAGTCTAAGCAAAAATATTGTGTATTAAATCTCTCACTTTCTTATTCCCAGAAAATACAGTGTTTACATGAGAGAGGCTGTAGGGAGCTATAGTTCTCACCTGAACAACCTCATTAAGCTGAAGTTGTTCAGGTGACTATAGTGTCCCTTTAAGGGAATTGGTACCATCAAAATTGAAAAATCTACCTTCAAAAAGAGAAAATAAAAATGTATATACATGTATAACAACGCAGTCCTGATGTGCACAAAAGTTGTGTGTTGCAAAAAGAAATGAAAATAGTCCACATAATATTCATGGTATATAGGATGTGGTCCCTCAGTTTCGTCCACCATATATGTTTTGCAGCAGACCCCATGGACCCAAAGATGGGCAAACACTGAGTACATGATCTTTTTGAAGAACCAGGGGGGCAAGCTGAGTCTTCCATTAATAAGGAGAGGTCCAGGTATGTAAACAAGTTGCTGTATTGGTCCGCAAGAGGTGTTTACCCACCATCTTGAAGTAACAGTAAACAACTTGAGTGTGGATGTCCCACAGGTCGATCACCATTTTTTTGTGGGCCAAGAACTGTCACGTATTCATCCACACTTTAAAATGTGGTTAATGGCATTTACCGTCCAGACAGGAAAAGTTGTGACGAGCAGCATTACTGTCCGGACAGAAGAAGTTGTGCCGAGCAGCAATCATGAACATGGAAACCTAGGAATTGCTTTTGGGGCCAAAGGCCGGTTTCAGCCAATCAGATCCACAAGAGGGGTATTTAAACCCAATTCTCCTTTTGCTGATTGCCTTGTCGTGGTTTCATCCTGATGGTAATCTGAGAGTGCGTTCCAGATCTTGATTTTCTGGTATTGGACTTTGGCTTCATTTTGACTTCTCTGAATTCTGGTATCCTTGACTTTTGGCATTCACTAATCGTTGTGTTGGATTCTGGGTTCCTGATCTCGGCAAGTATTTTGACTATTCTTGGATACGTTAAGTTCGGCCAATCTAAGGTCCAGTTATACGTTATCTTTAGTCCTAGGTGTGACACAGTTCTGCATGCTCGATCAACTTGTAATCCTGACAAGAACATGTTGCTGAAAAATTCTCTACCCCTGAGGTGGGTTGGATGGCACCCTTTACTCTCAAATCTAAAGCTCCTGATCCATAAGGCGAGTGTCGGCCAAAGCAAAATGTATATTTTTGGGGCAGCTGCCACTGGACAGGGACATCCTCAAACTTGATCACATATCCCTGCACAGTCTGCAACAGCCACATGTCCTAGGATAGGTCCTAATTAGGTCCTTCCTAATTAAAAACCAAAGGGTCGCTTAACTGGGGAGAATTTTGCATGTGCATACCCACGTGTGCCACAATCTCTCTCTGAGCCCCTGGAGTAGCTGAATCCTTATCTACCCCCCAATTCCAGGTAGAAGGAACATGAAAATGAAAAGGGACATGAAAATGTTCACATGTTTATTCAGGTCCTTCATGAAGGCTTCCCCAAAGAGCTTTAGCCTCTAAGCCTGCCAGTTTTCTGTTGATGCAGAAGAGTGCTGTTTTGTGTCTCCCCGAAGAGAGCGCAGAAGCACCTTTGTGCCCACTCTATAATGTTGTGCTCCCAATCATGCACCAAAAGTCAAATGATTAGGTTCGATAATAGGCATCATCTGCCACATAGATTATGCATTCAAAGGACTCAACATGGTCCAGGAACTTGTCTTGCACACCTTTAAACATCTCTCTCACCCCCTTTACGAGGGTCTTGGCCTCCACAAATTCTGGCTTCAGAGGAATTTTGTCCACCAATGAAAGCAGCGGACATTGAGACTGCAAAGGATTGTGGATCTCCTTCTTCAATGGCTTACTCAGCCACATGTACTTAAATATCGAGAGGCAGTCAGGTGGTGTCCAATCGCAAGAGCAGGGGTGCCACATATTGCTTGGGTTGAACATGCATTGGCATCTATAATGACCTTCATGTCTGCATGGGAATGCCCCATCTGTACCTTTCCTGCTTTCCAGCACCTGGAGCTCACAGAGGAAGGTGTCTTTCACAAACAGAGTCCGACCTGGAACCCCAAGCATCATTGTCAGATCCAGAGACTTCTGCTTGTCACTCTTCAAGTATCTAGAGGGATTGGGGTAAGTTGTTGTCCTCATCCAAGAAGTGAGTGTGTGGCAGGAGTGGAGCAGGTGGTGCTGCGTGTTGGTTGTCACATTTGAGGGGCTTTTTGCCCTTAGATAATTTACAACAAGTCCCTTCTCCCTTCCAATGGCAGAACCTGCCAGAGAAAAAAGTAAAACAGGGCACCACAAACAAATCTCATACTAACACTACCCCTACAGAATAAATAAAACATCAGTCAAACTAATACAAAATAGAGAGACAGTAAGCATAAACTCTGACCTGTCCTTGGGATGGAGCAGCAAAAAAAGAGAAGGTGCTTCGGTTACTGTGCCTCATATATACATTACTTGTTTCTGATTGTTTCTTGTTTTTTCTTTATGTTTATTTGCTGCTATGGCGTTAGGTAAATAAAGATTTGCAAAATATGAAGCTTCATGTCATGTTGTAAAATTAAACATCCCAGAGGAGACATGATGCATGTTCATAATTTGGAGTGAGTACTTATCACTGAGCATAAAACCAAATAATGAATAAGATGGCACAAAATAGCTTTTATTGCAAGTGTAACAATACAATTGCCTACTGTATCACTAACTAATACATTAAGCAACCAAATAAAACCCTGGTAAAGAGATTCTCAACAAACAACCCATAAGTTGGTGCACAATATCAATTGAAACAGTGCACAATTTTCTTGCAATGTATCTTTTGCCAATAAATACTAATTCATCAACCACTAAATTGGTGTGTAATATCAATTAAAACAGTGCACAATTATCTAATGATAGATCATGCAAATAGATACCACTTGAGGTGCATAAGTGATCCCTAATTATTCACATAACAATGTACATAGATTAATTAAGTGCAAACAAAATGTGCAAATAAATCACCAAATCATATGAGTGATGATCTCAAGAATCTAAAAACAAACAAAAACAGTCCAACGCTGTCATATACCAGAAACTGAGATAAAATTCAAGTAAATAAAACTCAAAACATGGAGTACCACTCCCAACTGAAGGGCTCAGGGAGGATCAGCTCCTTGTAAACATGGGAGCCAATAAACTCACCATCAGCCACACTTTTTGTTTAAAATCTTTTTTTGTGTTCCAGAAAAGGTTAATTGTGCAGCACTGAAGGTAGATTCCAGGATGTAAAGTCCAGCTAACTGGAAACAGGAAACAGTCTGTGGAGCACTCTAGGTGCTTG